TTCACTTATTTATTTTAATTTAGTTTTGATCGATAAATATTCAAAAGTTGAATGCAACATCACAGTTCAGATAAATTTAACCGTACTATTGAATATGGGTGTACCGGTTGTCGACACAGTCACAAACGCACACCTGCAGTGAGGTCCTGTGCTTCTCTTTCTTAGCAAACCAAGGCACCAACCACTGTTCATAATACCGGGAAATTCGAATTTTGAAAAGCAGGTATATAAAAAATTGTATTTCAAAGAAGGACAGCAACCTCGTCCGATTACCAGTGGCGTACGAATATAGGAAAGTTAATATGTATTTAGACTATTGCATATTAAACACAACAAAATTTTTATGTATAAGAAGTTTAATTACATTTATTATTAGATGATATACCTTATCTACATATGTCCAAAATATCGTATGATATTTTTGCTGGGGAAATCCTTTCGGATTGTTCCGGAGTCAATTGCATATTTACTCCTGTTTAATGGCTCCTGTTACATCGGCTTTACATGTCCTCTGAAACACGGTGAACGGCTCCTATTATTTTTAGAAATAAAAGAGTTTTTCATCATAATACCTATTTGGTAAGGGGCAAATTGCTTATTGTATAGTAGGAAACATATTGAATTTTACATTGTCAATGTATTTATGAGTGATCTTAGCTTTCTTTAATCGGATATTTTTCCATTCTTAACGATTCGAATTTCTTCTTCTCTTCGAATTGTGTTACAGCCAAAATTGATTTTTTTCCATTTTTTCAAAATAACTCCAACTTTAAAGGTTAAAGGTTGTATTCGCATGCATTGAGCTCCGCATTCGAGCACTTTTCGCGCAACTTTTTTTAAAGCGAAGGTCTTGAAAAAAACTTTAATATACACTATCTTCTATCTTTTAAAATAAACTACAAAATAGTTTTTTGGCGGACTTGTTAGCTTAAAAAATAAAAGATAAAAAACCAATTAACTCTTTTTCGAATTTTGGAGCATTCATAAATGGGCACTTTCAAGTAATTTGTACTTCCTGTGTTCATCAATTGGTTGTTACCACACGTTAGACGAAGTCCATTTTCGAGCTGGGAATTTGTGAGTTTCTTTAAAAATGTAATCTTTTATCATCAACTTAATGTCATAATAATTATAATGTTTACTACTTTAATTATGCAATTTAAGGGTCATCCGATCTTGTTATGTGGCTAGTTACATACTTTATAGACGTTTTCGCTGAGGATGGACTGACTAAAATTTCTAATAAATTTTATACCATTATGCTCAAGGTGTGTTTACTTCATAGTAAGTTTTAAACATTGACAGGCACAGTATTTAGTCTAGGATGGATACAGTTTCGACATTTTACACGAAAATGTCGAAACTGTATCGACATTTTCGATTTGAAAAGAAAAGAAAAAAGATTTTCGAATTAATTGAAAAAATACCTGATTTGAGGTAACAAGTAGAGATATTTTACAGTAGTAACGCTGAACTAGAAAATATTCTGAAATCTGGTAGATACTGTGTAATATTGGTATATGGAACTGTCAAAAATATACAAATAAATAAATTGAAAAAAGTCGAAGACTTGGAAAATTATCTTAAGCAGATGCGATATGATTCCTTTATTAAGGCTACCACCAAAAGCAGTGCCTTCAAACTATAATCCCTTGTTCCTACTGTAGATGCCATAAATGAATACATTAAGCAAATTTATTGTGTTTGGCAACAAAACCATTCGGTCAACTGATTGAGGGTGGAACATTATTGAAGGATGTTTGCAACCAATCAGAATCTACAAATAGGATGCACCTAAAGAACATAAAAATGATTTTTTGTAGTTAAAAAATGTTGTTGAAATTTGCATTCCAACGTGTAGTGGATATTCGGGAGAAAATTGTTACAATGGCACTTTGATTGATGCCGAACGTCAGTGCTCACGATAATAATTTATGATTTTGTATTTGTAAATATTATGAGAAATTTGTGGCTTTAATTGTAAATGTTTCAGCGATATAAAAATTTATTTAAATATGCCATTATTTTTACCAATGCCATTAAAACCTGCTGTAAGATTAAGGTGCAATTTTATAATGTTTAGAATAGGGGTAGTTTTATGGCATTAGGGGTATAGGCAATAGTACAAGTTAAGTTGTGCTTAACTGCAAATTCATGCAAATCTATACACATCCATAAAATCTGGAGATTATGCAATAGCGGAGGCTTCTAAGGGTTGCAATATTAAAACTAATTTTTGAAAACTTATAATGCATTGATTAAGTTTCAATAAAGTTAATTAAATCACACAATTTACATTTAAAAAACCCTTTATATCAAGGTAGGTATATTTATTTAAAAAAAAGCCGCAAAAATATATGGAAAAACCCTTTTAAATCTTGTTAACTTAGTTAAAGCTGATAATTTTATATGATGTTTGTTTAAGCTTTAAACAGATTTATTATACATATTATATTGTATTCGGTCTCCCCGAAGTTTATTATGTAGGCTTAATGGCAAATTTTTGACGTTAAATAAATTTCAAAACAAATATAGTAAAAAAAATTTAATTTTAAAGTCCAAAGTAACCTAATGAAGTTTTCCAAGAAACAATATGTTTTTTCCTAAATTGTTTCCTTGCAACGTCTCATTATCCATAAATATATCTAAGAATAAACCACATGTTTATTATAAAGTGAATTTTTTATTTAACGGTTTCTAGATTAGAAACCATTTTCAAGATATGAAATACAGTATTTTGAAACAGCTTACTATCTAGAAATCTAAACGCCAAATACAGAGTTCCATGAAAGACTCATGAAATAAATATGACTGTCAATATATTTTGTTTATTCGTGATAATTCATAATATAACTACTTATAGCTCTCGTGTAAATTAACTCAGTTTTTATTCAGCTACATTTGTAAAAGTTAAGTTTAGAATTCCAATAAACTTTGCGTAAACAGTCGACAGTCACTTATCAGATATAATTCCTTTAATAGAAACAATAGGATAATCAATAATAAAAAACAACGCTATAATTTGTGGAGTTCTCGGAACAGAATGACGTTGGCATTTTAAACCTTGAATTCACAACTTAAAATATTGTATACAAGATTTTTACACATTTCTATAATATATTTGATGATAGCGAATACTCCGCAAATGAGTGTAATTTCAAGTTATGATTTGAGCAAAAAATGTAAGTTACTTCCACATTATACACAGGATAGTGGTGCTGGTTTTATTTTTTAGATATAGCAATATTTTAGAACCTGTGTGTTAATCATAAGTGTGACAAATGATGTGTTTTTGGAAGCTGGCTCGAAACAATTTCTATTTAAGTTACGTATATTGTTTACTTGTGAATTTACATTTTGTTCTTATATTTTCTAAGTAAATTCACATTAGAAGAGGTGATATCTTCATTTTTTTTATTATTATGGGAACAATTTTCCATCAAGAATGATTTTTTTGTAATAACTACTAAATATTGTACTAAATAAGTATCTGTCAAAATTTCTTTTTTTACTCGATTAAACTGGATTTCCGATAAATGCATAACAAAGGAGGACGAACTATAGGTTTTGAAGTTAAGCTTTTACACTGGTATCGTATTACTTTTTCTTTATAGTAAAATGCTATAGATGAATCCGGTGTCGACATGTCAATAGCGACTTTACCATTTCCAATGTCTAACGACTGCCCCGAAAACACAATTGTCTTTTGATCTTTCTGCAAAACACTAGCATCTTCTAGCATATCGTTATTTATTTTAGTTTATTCTATTTTATTTTATTTTGTTTTTCTATTTTATTCCTTTTTATTCCATTTTAAGCTATTTTATGCTCTTTTATTGTATACTATTTTATTTTTTATTATACTAGCTGACCCACCGAATTTCGCATCGGCTTAAAATTAAATAATGTATAAAAGTTCAATAAGCTCCTTTTTCGAATCTGTTGAGTAACAGAAATCTTTGGATAATTAAATAAATCCAGTCGTGGTATCAATAGCGATTTTGTCGTATGTATTTCGTGTAGCTAATTAAATGAAAAATGTCTATAATGTTTTATAACGGATTTCTCATTTTCGACGTTTGTTAAACGTCATTTTATGCTTATTAAGATTAAATGAACTAAAAATGTAGAGGTGAAGTCATATAAAACATTTTGAATTTACAATTAAAAAAATAAGAGTCAGTCCTAGAGATTAAAAATATCTTATCTCCTATTCAAAAAAATACACTTTCATACAATTTTATTGGAATCGGTTGAGTGGTTTCGGATATTAGCGTGGACAAACACCGTGATATGAAATTTTTATAGATATAAAGATAAGAAACAACAAGGAGACCTCTTCGACAGCGAATTAGCTGAACTGCAAATCCAAGCCTACGGGAAGATATTGGACGATGTTAGAATAACTTTTTATTCCGACAATACGTCTACAGTTCACCCGTGAAAAACACCATATTTTGCATAGAGAAAAGGCGTTGAAATGAAAATAGACGATTGGATTTTCTTTCAACTAACTCGACCATTGTACCACACGGTTTTCGAGGCTTTTTTCTCATCGTAACATTTTTTGAAATTATCAGGAACACTGATTTATTGTTGCTTCATATAGAGGTCGTCAGTAAACTGTAGATATATTGTCGGAATAAAAAGTTATTTTTAACATCGGCCAATAGCTTCCAAAAGTCTCCTTTATAAAATGTAGTTTAATAATTATTGAAAGTAAATAAAAACGATAAAAAATTAATCTAAAAATGTTGAATGTATGCAATATAATTTTTGAATTTATTCCAGTTAACAAAAATCCGAAATTCAACGTTTCTAATTTATATTACAGATTGATTTATCCGAAATGCAGACCTTTTTTATAACGGGCATATTATTAGTCATTTTAGCAAATCATCCTAAAATTCACATTTAACATATGGTCAATATCTTTGATATATTATTGTACATTAATTTTAAGAGTTCATGTATTAATTATATTTTTCTTTTGTTTTCAGTAGTGTCTCCTTTGGCATGGCATTAGCGTGCAATGTTAGGGTGTAACACAGCATGTCCCAACTGCAAGCACGAATTCCAGTGCTGTCCTCCGAAGCAACAATGTTGCAGCACGAGAAGATCGTTACATGTACTGAGCGGCGGTGGCCTTGTAACAACTTTAGCTCCGACGACAGCTCAGAGTCCATGTCCCTCCCCACAAGTTTCGCCCAGTGTACCTCTAGCATTCATTCTACCTCCTTTGGATACGCCTTTTCAAAGTGCTCCGGCGCCTGTAGAAAACAATTCCGAAACCGAGTTACAAAGACTGTCAGACACCGTACGGGCTCTGCGCCTATCCGGTTGGTATCATGAGGGTATTACTTATGCACAGAGTCACGAACTTTTAAAAGGAACCAGTGTTGGAAGGTTTCTAGTGCGAAACTCTTCAGATCCTAAATTTTTGTTTTCCCTAAGTGTGCAAACAGAGCGTGGACCGACTTCTGTTCGTCTCTTTTATACCAACGGATATTTCAGATTAGACGCCCAACCACATCTTCAAGCTGCAATGCCAATGTTTCCTAGTGTCATAGACTTGATACATCATTACGTACTACAAAGCAAACTGTGTCGTAGCAATGCTCAAGTATGGGTTGATCAACAAGGGAAGTGGTACTCACCAATTCTTTTGGACAAACCACTGAGGAAACGGTCTGAACCTTCGAGCCTCAAACACCTAGCAAGATTGGCCATACATAAAGGATTGCAGGCTTCTCCTAAACCGAGATTGGCTATGTTGCCATCTCCACATACTCGATTAGAATTACCCAATTCATTGATTGGCTACTTATCGGAGTATCCTTTCTCCATCTAATGTTGGGCCAAAGACTGGTTGGTACCTTTACATACCAACATCAGGGAACACCAATAAAAGTATTCTAAAGTAGCATTCACTACAGTGCATAGTTAGGTAGGGTAACAAATTGATACGAATAAAATTCTGTTTGTTAGTCTATGTCTTCATAAGTATTTATAAATTATTTTTTTAATTATATATTTGATAAAAAGTCTGATAAGCGTATTTAGTATAAAGTTACATATAGTAGAAACAATTGAGCCAGCGTTTAGCTTAAAACATATCTCATGTAATAAATTATTTTGTGTCATAATTAAAATATGATGTGAAAAAATTAAATAAATGATGTGATTTTTCGGCAGCTTTTGACTTTGACAGAGTTAAATTTTCTTTTTGAATTTTTCTAAATGTATCCACAAAAACGTTAATTTGAGTGTTTCATGCATTTCAAGAAAGAATAAATAAATTAACAATAAAGGATTCGGCCGAAATTAATTCCAAGTAACACTAACTTTAGGTATGGACGCAAAATAATAGATATTCTTGATCAAAAGCAGAGTTAATAAAAAGCATTCATAAAAATTCTATGTTATCACAAAACTGTTTTGATGCGCAATTCTTTATAAATGTAAAGTATTTATTAGTTGGTTTAGAACTAATAAACAAACATGAAGCATTTGTGACATAAAAGAAGAAACATTTTCTTTAGATTGTTCCAACTTTATATTGTTCTGATGTGTAGTTCGATGTCTGATACTGTAGAATATTCGGCTAGTTTATTTGAAAATTATTATTACACAAAAAGAATTGTTAACTCAGTCTGTTGGTCAAACTTTATTTGTTGATGGGATTATTTATCAACTAGCTAAATATTAAAATATCTATAAAATGAAATACTTCTAAGATCTTTACCATTGGAATAAATTTACTTTATTTGTGCATTCTTTGTTCCTCTTTTAACATGATAAGTACTAAAGTGCCATAAGCTATTATTTAATAAAAAAATTACGGTTTAATCAAGAAGAACTTGAAATATCTTAGATAAGATGGAATAAAAAAATTTCTTATTGTTTGATCCTTCACTTAATTTTTAAGTATTAAAGTTGCTTTTGTATAAATCAGTGAAAATTCTTAAGTAAAAATAATTTAGAATAACTTAGCTTATCTTTATTATTTTCTGCAAATTCTTATCAAACAAAATTGTGGAAGGTCTTTATCAAAATGTTAAAGAACGTCATTATTTTTTATAAAATAATTTAAATCCTTTTTGAAACTTAGCTTAACTTATTCCTCACACATAACTACTAATTTGTTATCAATTGTTTTTGTTAATATAGTTTATTATTTAACTTATTTTGCTTGAATGTTGAAAATACGATGGTGCATGACGTGTTCTCAGTTCATGGAATTTTCTGAAGATAATTTCTGATAAATAAAGCAAAATTTAAACAAATTAAAAAATACATTAATTTTGAAATTTTTATTCTGATATTGTTAATGCTAATGAAATGTGTTTTTACTTATTATTGTTAAATGGTAAATAAAGTGACTATTTACATAATACAGCTACAAATGTATTAGGATACCTTTGTGAGAAGGCCTCCACTACTCAACAGACCAATGTTTCTTGTTGTGGTTATTTCAAAAGACTCCTTCCGTCATAAATTCAGCCATAAACTGCTTCGTGTTTACCTTATCCTTAAGAATACTGACAAGGAAGATCTTTCGAGCCCATCCTAAAATAATTTATTGTAGTGGTATACTTCATTAATTTATACCAATTTTAAATATAATGATATATTTAATGACATGTAGTCCAGTTTTCATTTGTAGATTCTGGCTCAATTGGCAGATACATGTAATTCTAAATTTTCCGAAATATAATTTTATTAGAGAATCTCATATATTCGATATTACATGTTCCTGCGGTTTTACAATTTGCTTAGTGGTACTATTTACTAAATACCCCGAGTTCTGTCTTAATTGCTATATAATTCGCAGATAAGAATTCTTGGCAAAAACTAACAAGTAGACGAGTCTTAAATGATAAATGGTATTTTTTAATAATTAGCATAGTTTTCAAAATTATAATAATAACAGTTTAACATCGTAATCAAATCTTACTTAGCATATTGTTGCTTGTTTTTTACATTCATGACATATTTACTAAATCTCAGTCTGTTATGTTTCTTTGAAGGACCAGTTATCACGTGATCGTTTTTACGAAATTGGGAATCATTATTCACTTTGGTTAATAATGTTAATTATTTGTACATTTTTAGAAAATCATGTATTAAAATCATTATTAATATTTTTATTCTTAAGTTATTTAGCAGAAGTTACATTTTTTGAAAATCGACCATTTATCGCTCATTTTTGCATAAATAAGGGTACTAAAATTCTAGAGCTTCCTGTTAGTTGAGAATTTTCAATTTGATAGTTGCATATATAGATCTACCATGTATTAAACGTAAGAGACAAAGATAAAAAGTAATAAAAAGATATTAATTAATCTCTTACAGCTCTTACAGAAAACATCCTTTCTAGTTATCACAAAGTGTAATATACTTTGTTATGTATATAATACACAATCTTCAGTGCATTTCAATTCTTGGAAAAACCCATCATTTCGGCTGTAGCAATTCTGTGTAAAGAAACTTGAAAGTAATAATCTTCATCAAGCTCCGATACCCTTTTTTGATAATGAGAAACTGCTTATGTAGCAAAGTTTACTTTTTCTTGTGGTAGGTGTTTTACTGTTTCTGTCAAAACGTGAAAATATTTCCGAAGCATTGTGTATACGATTATGTTACGTCGCTGCCCTTTCTATATCTTTCAAATTTAGAAGAAGGCATTCCAGTTATCATTCTGTGTAAGAAATGTGTTTCATTAGAATTATACATTTCATTTTCGTTAAATTTTGTTATGAAATCCATAGTCTTTTTTGATTTTTGTGTGCATCAGACAGTCCTTAAAAATAAGTTGCCAATAGATCAGTTACATTTTATTACACTGTTTTTTTAGACAAAGGTCCTTTTCTTGAAAAATTTACCCTAATACTTGTAACACGATGCTTCATTCAGAGCCTCGTGTTTAGCTTTCGTAATAATTTTGAAAGTAAAGTCCTCAATTTTTGTAATGTTTTTTTTTGTGAGCCTAATGTAGTATTGACCCATCGAAAAAAACCTCATTAGTGTGTTCTGTATGGTAAAAATGACATAACTTATTTTTTGCCAGTTTTTGAATATAACTAAGACTTATTGATTTTCGAAATGGCTGAAGGGCCAACTAACGTCATTTAAATATAAAATCTATAATGTCTTCTAATTACAATTTTTTTTGATGACTTAGTATGTATTCCGACAGAATAATAACTTGCTGTTTTACACAACGATTCAATTTATCAATTATATCTGTAAGTGTGTTTCACCGCCATTGTATTTATCACTATTTTTACTTTTCACACATTAGAAACAACTCTTAGTGTACCTCGAATAGCAGCATAAATATGTACTGTTTTGGGTACTAAAAAGTCGGTCCGGGTTATCTGGAGTTGACTTAAAGGGTTTGTTCTTATCGAAGTTCTAATATACGATATGTAAAAATGGGCTAGTGTTATGACCACAAAGTACTTAGAAAGAAAAGTTCTCGTGCTATAGTGTTTCTTAGAAATTGACGGTTATGGTCACTATGATAAGTAAAACTAAAATTAAAATTATAATGTAGGTTGCTTAAGAATCCGAGTGCACATTATAATCAATATAGTATATAGCAAAGAACTGGGAAAGTTTGCAGAATAAAGATTAACAAACAGAGTTTTAAAAAGAACAAAATGTATTTATGGATGTATTTATACAATATAAAAATAGTGTGAATGCAATCAGTATGTATGTTTTTAGTCTAAATGTATTTATTTCCTTAGAACAATTATATTATTTATTACTAAGAAGGACTTCGTTTTATTTAAAATACCTGTTTATTTGAAATTTAAAGAAAAGATAATTTTTAATTCTTGATGAATATTCATCAGTAAGTAACAGCTCAGTTTACTTTATTCTGAAAAGATAGTTCTTAATATCGAATTTTATAAAATATCGTGTGGAATTTTGAATTTATTGCAAAATTAGAGAGGAGATAAATGATATATCAAAAATGAAGGAATTAATGAGACTTGGTAAATCTAATAATGTCTAACAACTACTAATAAGTGAAATAAGTTGGTTTTTTTTACTTAACACGAGAGTATAGACTGATTTGACAGGTAAAATGTGTAGTAAAAAATACTACAAAAAACTCACACCTAGGGATTTATCAATTTTTTAGTGGAACTATGTTTAAATAAACAATTAAAAACTTTTAACATGCTATTTAACATAGATTAAAATTTCCATGTCAAAAAAAGGAATTTGAGATATAATTGAACATCATTAAGCAAATAGCATTAAACGATGGGTACAATGAACAAACAATAAACAAAATCTTAAAATAAATACTGCATAAGAAAGCCCTGAAATTAGTATTTCCACGACCATAGAAAAACCCATTACCTTCTGGTCGATTACATATACAGGCAAGAGATCAACAAAAATAGCCAAACACATAAAAAAGAAAGGAATAACACAATCTTTCAGAACAAAAACTTAAGCACTGTATTATTATAAAGAATAATAAGAGTCAAAAGAAAAAGCAGTTTTGTATACACAGTGGTGTATACAAACTTAAATGTAGCGACTGCCTAAAAACTCGGTCGAACTAGTAAAACTTTTAACAAACGTATAGCAGAACATAAAACGGCTTTCAATAAGAGAAAAACACATTCTATATACGAATTTCACCTTCAGACCATAATCATTTTTTCTATAGAAATTAACAAATTATAAAAAATGCAGATATATTTCTAAATGACCAACTTGAGACAAACAGTTTTCCCCTCCTCATCTTATTCAGTTGAAGACTATAAAGTGAAAACGTAAACGCATACAAAAATAGATCACTTGAGAAAGGCACTCTGCCCAGACAGCTTTAGTGATAATACATTTTGTGAAAGTGTTGAAAACAAAAGTTTTCAATCTTTTATTGTTAGATAAAATGAATTTCCATCGAGAAACAGTCGAATCCATCACTTATTTTCTTAGATTTTTCGGCCAATATATTCGTCTTCCTCATACACTTCTGCTCAAATTCTGAAAGGAAATTTAGAAAAATGGAATTTTACGATATGTTATAGCTGCCACTCAACAGAACATAAATTAGGAAAGGGTTATATAGTCAATAAAACAGTGAAACACCTTATAATAGACTTCCAACATATCAACAAAAGACTTCAAAATAATAATGAGGTAAATTCTTTAAATATTTAATAATAAATGCTCATGAATCAATTGAGGAGAAGTTGGATGAAGAAAAAGAAGAATTTTACGAACAACTGGAAAGCAATATACAAGATTATCCTAGAAATGATGTAAACGTGTAATAGGTAAGGGGAGGGAATAGGCGCCATCCATTGGAAACTACAGTTTATATGAAGAGTCGAACAACAACGGAACTCGCCTTATACTTGTACCTTGTACGCATCAATGAACATGGTAGTTATCAGCAAATGTTTTATGCACAAAAATATACATAAGGGAACATGGAGAAGCCCTGATCGAAATAAAGTAAATCCAATCGACCATGTAGTAGTCGATGCTAGACATTTCAGCGACGTATGTGCAAGACCCAGGGCAAATGTAATAATGTTTAATACTGACTGTTGTACATCTTATTACTTTCTTGTATGCTGTTAAACTATTCTTAAATTCTTAACCTCTTATTTCTGTCATGAGACCTTGTTTCGCCTGTCCTGTTACAATGTGATGTCAAAAAACATTACTCCAAGTGATCCATGATCACAGGACTTTACATTCATAAGCTTTTCAGTCTCATGACATTTCCTTCCAATAAAACATAGAATTCACAACAATGAATGAACTAAGAATTCAAACATTCTAAAATAACAATACTAATTGATGAACTAGTACATCTCGAAATCAGTCAGTATTAAAACGTCTTTTGGTCAATGAAACCTATTGCTTCCAAACTAAATAAAACGAAAACAAGAAGTAGTTAGAATTAAACCAATATGAAGTTTGGAATACCTCAATCATTACCATTTTACCGGCATTATAATTTGAAGGTAGCGTGGCTGAAAACTTTCGGCGATTTAAACAGACATTTGGAGCGTTTTTCTGCCTGGATCATTTTGTTTCCTCAGTATAACATGCCATCCCTTCCTCAGACGTCCTATCTTAATATCTTTTACGATATCTAGTTCCTGGTATATTTTATAAAGTTCGAAGTTTATCGTATTTTCGACACTATAATGTCATTCACCGCTCCATAGATTGACCTTAGTACTTTTCTTTCAAAACATCCATTTCATTACTTTTTGTTATGAGTCCAGGTCTCTCAACCATATATTAGGACTATGCGTATTATTGTTTTGTAGAATTTTACCTTTGTATTTCTCCATATAATTAACACGTTGCCTGCCGTACAGAATTTTGTAATAGTTTCCGTTCACGCCATAGTCACCGAGACGGCACCACAGTTACATTAAAATTCTCGGTCAAATAGACCTCGCTGAGGCAATAGGCAAAAATAGAATCTGTTGGCCATACAAATTCTTTGGTTTATCTCTGCGGTAGTATTATTTTCAGTGTTAACAAGCGCTTCCATATATACAAATTCGTTTATTGTTCCGATGACGTCGTTTTCTATAACAAGTGGACGTAATATTTGTAGTTGGTGGTTGCGTGCTTATTTTCATTTGCTTCGTTTTGTTGGTGTTTATTATTAAACCCATTTTTGTAGTTGATTCTTTTAGTGCTACATATGCTTTTCCCGTTCTCCCAACAATATTAATATCATCAGCATGGGCAAGGATTTGCTATATATTGAACCGGTAATTTTGGTCCAGACAGTAGGTACCCCCCAGATTCCATCCGATTTCGGGTGTTAGGTTGAAATTCTTGTTTTCTTCATGTCTAGTTTATCGCAGATTCAATGGATTAGATCGTCCTAGAAATACCTTCCTAGGTCACTAAGGATCTCCAACGGTACCACAAATCAGCTGATGTACACTTTGATAAACATATCGGCAGGTCTTAGTGCGGTCTTCTGGTATGAAATTGCCCAGCTCTCGACCACTTTAATCGATCATGAGCAAAATGTACTTGCAACCATTTTCACTTTTTGGAAATCGTCTGGTAATGTCCAAAGCTATTCTTTTAAACTGGCTTCTAACATTGTGTTGTCTCTCAGGAACCTTTCTTTTTCGGTAAGGTCCGTTACTCGTGGCACATCTGGTACATTTCTTAATCCAGTATTTCACATCGTCGGAACTATTCAGTCAATAAAACCATTCCCAAATTCTCTAAAGGGTTTTCTTTAAACTAAAATGCCCTCATGATGGACTGTCCTATAACTGACGAAGTACTTCCGCTATTCTGTTCATTGGAATCACCATCTATGTTCTCTTCTAGGAACCGTTATTATTTTCCAGTACTCTTTTGAGCAAGCCGTCTTCCAAGACGATCGACGGTTTTTTTCGAATTTTCTGTAAAATTGGATATTTCTCTTGTTCTTTTTCTGTTAACCAGCTTTGTTCTTAGCACTACTGCTTTCTAGGACAATGTATTGTATCAGTGGGAACACACTTCTAGGTCCGCTGAGAGTCAGCGTTCTTGTAGCTAACTCCGACTCGATGCTCAATTTTGAAATCGTATTCTTGGAGTCGTTCAAGCTATCTGACCATCTGGAATCTTAAACTACATTAATCACATAAGGGCAGCATGGTCAGTTCGGATTAAAAACTTCTACTGATTTCACTACTGCCAGAAGTTCTTTTTTTGTTACGCAATAATTTCACTCAGGTTTTGAAAGCACTTTACGAAAATACCCAAGGACTCTTTCCTGTTCGACTTGAATCTGAGATAGCACTCCTTCAATCTCCACATTACTTGAATCTGTATCTAAGATTAACTATTCTTCTGGCAGTGGATACCCTAATATTGGTGCTGTAAGTAAATGATTCTTTAAGGTTTCAAGGGCATTTTGACAGTCTCCATCTCAGCAGCAATCTCTTGATTCCTCTGTAAGTTGAATTAATGGCTTGGCGATATCTGTAAACTTTTTAATGAACTTCCGATAGTAAGTACGTAGCCCAACTCACTTGGTATTTGTCAGTTGGTTCTGGTCATTCGGTAATGTAATCGGCGCTTATCCACGACCTTTCGTTTTTGAGTATATTACCAAGATAATTTACTTTAACATCAATTGGGCAAATTTAAGTCGATTAAAAACATCTTCAAAGTTCTTAAATTGGCCTTCAAAAGTCTTCCAAAAATGATTATGTCATGTAAATATATTAGGCACGTTTTTCAAGATAGCCATATCCACATATTTTCCATAAGCCTTTTGGAGCATTTCGAGTCCAAATGACATAACGCTGAAATGCCACAGTCTCCATAATGAAGGCTGTCTTCTCCTTATCTACTGGATACATTTCTACCTGCTAATATCCAGATTTCAAAGTAGAAAACAATTTACTTCCAGCCAATGTATCCATCAGAGTGTCTTCGATGCGAGACAGAGGATAACTATCTTTCTTGGCAAAATTGTTCCACAAACAAAGTTTAAGAAAACCAATGTCATCTCTCAAAAACCAAAATGTAACTCATTCTTGCAAAATAAACGAGCATATTTTAGAATAGGTCAATAGGTTCAAATACCTGGGATGTTGGATTGATAGCAGTCTAAATACTCATCTAGAAATAAGATCAAGAATAAAACAGGCAAAAATCAAAATACTGCTATGTGATTCTCGAATAAAACTGGAAATTCGACTACGTTTATGCAGTTGAAACGTGGCCTTAAAACATCAACCGTAAATAAACTGGAGGCCTTT